TCACAAACCCCCGCAGCCCTGGCGGCACCCCCGCCATCGGATGCTGCTGGGTCGCCCCCGCCCCTGCCGTGCTGTTCCCAGCGGCAGCAGCAGCGTCGGTAGCAGAGGGAGAAGGGATGGAGGAGGCGGCGAGGGAGCAGTAGGCCAGGCGCGCTCCTGCACGTCCTGCAGCACGATGCTCCTCTCCTGTGCTGCCGGCCGGTACCGCCGCGTCATCACCCCACGCTCAAAGCACACGGGGCGCGTGCCGTTGCGCACGCGGAACGGCGCGATGTGCGCCCCAAGAATGGCCTTGAACAGCAGGCGCGACCAGGGCGACAGGCGCATGTCGAGCCCGCCGCGGCGGTAGAAGAAGGCACGAGCGGGGCGCATGAAGGAGTAGTCGGGGTAGGGTAGAAGAGGTTGGCGAGGATGTTGGGTGTGTGTGGAAGCGGTCGTCAAAGCCGTAGCGCGAGTGCAGCAGCAGCGACGTGCCCAACAGCATGAGCGCGGACGGTGGGATGGAATCGAAGGTGGCGATGGCGAACGAGTGTTGCACGCGCCCCCGGAGAAACAAAGCGGTGTGGAGAGGTTCCCCTGGATGCAGAGGATCTGCTTGGGGTGCTGAGGCGAGGGGAAGACGTGCACCTCTGGCATGTTCGTCACCTGGGGAAGAAGGGGGTGAGGGGGGTGAGAGAGGGGAGGAGAGGGGCACGAAGGAAGCATTGGAGGTGAAGAGAGAAGCAGCAGCGGGGTGAATATGGCATGTGGGTGAGTGTGGTGTGGCGCAAGTGAGAGGGAACGACGAGATGTGAAACCAGAGGAAAGGAGGTGTGCCACAGGTGAGACGGACTGACAAGGGGGCAAGAGGTGGGTGCGGAGCAGCGATGCATTGAGGGGAGGAAGTCAAGGGAGGGAGCAGGAAAAGAGAGCTGCCTGCCAGCCACTGGGTGGTGGAGTAGGTTGCGGATTCTGAAGTGCAAAGCATTAAGTTACCGTCTGAGAGAGAAAGGGCATGAATCCGAAGTTACCGTCTGAGAGAGGGCATGAATTCGAAGTTACCCGTCTGAGAGAGGGCATGAATCAGAAGTTACCCGTCTGAGAGAGGGCACGAAACAGACGTTACCCGTCTGAGAGAGGGCATGAATCAGAAGTTATCCGTCTGCATGAAACAGACGTTTCCCGTCTGAGAGAGGGCATGAATCAGAAGTTACCCGTCTGAGAGAGGGCATGAAGCGGAAGTTCTCATCGCTGGACGACATCTTGGTGGCGTCAAACAGCGCCTCCCACTGCAGCCCCCGTCCTTCTCCCCTCCCCTACCCCTGCGCCCCCACCCCCTCCCCCTCCCCCACCCCCACCCCCGGCCTTGTTGAACTGCATCTTGGTGAAGGTGTCCTGCTCCAGGTGGAACTTGGCAAGAGTGGAGTTGCGCAGCGGCATGTCGCCAAAGAAGGCCTCGAGATCATTCAGGCACGCCGACCCCACGCGCGTGTGGTCCTCGAACGACGACGCGAGGTCCTCCGTGACGCGCTTGTCGGGGTCCACGACGAGTAAGGGTGCCGCGTCCGTGAGCTCGGAGGCCAGGAAGTTGAGAGCCGCGTCGGCGCACTGCGGGACATCTCGATGTAGTCGCGCACTTGCTGGCGTGACGAGTGCATAGAGGGGGGGGGAAGGGAGGGTACGTGGAAAGGGTCGTTTTGGTTGAGCAAGAAAGCCTGGTGAGGAAGTTGAAGGATGCGTGGGCGCACTGCGGTGACATCTCCATGTGGTCCCGCACTGCCTGGCGTGTGAGGGGGCAGGGGAAGCTTGTGGGGGGAAGAGCGGCAGAGGTGAGGGTGCAGGCACAGGGCGCACTGAGGGGGCATCTGGATGTAGTGACGCAGTGACTGCCGTGTGATGGCAGCAGAAGGGGGGAGTGGAAGACCCAGGGGAGGGGGGAGTGGAAGACCCAGGGGAGGGGGAGTGGAAGACCCAGGGGAGGGGGGAGTGGAAGACCCAGGGGAGGGGGGAGTGGAAGACCAGGGGAGGGGGGAGTGGAAGACCCAGGGGAGGGGGGAGTGGAAGACCCAGGGGAGGGGGGAGTGGAAGACCCAGGGGAGGGGGAGGAAAGGGGGGCAACGGCAAACAACCCCCCCTCTCTTCCCTTCCACGCACCTACCTTCTCCCTCCCTTCCTCTCTCACACCCCCGGTCCCTCGCTCCCCTTCCTCCCCACACAGTAAGTGCCCCAAATCCAGCCATCATAGAGCACCAAAGTGCTCGAGGCGGACTCCACTCCTTCCATTCACAACTCATTCCACCTTGGGGCCTGCCGCAAAGACTTGAACCCATCACAACCACCCTGGAAACCCCTCCTCCCTACCTGGGGGCAGCGTGCACGTGTAACCTTCATGCTAGCTGCCCCCACCCCCCTTCCCCCCAAACCTCCCATCCCCATCCCCTTCCCTGGTACCTGGGGCAGCGTGCATGTGTACGACTGCAGGTAGTCCGCATGCAGCAACAACAGCCGCGCCCCCCCATCGAATACTCATCTCGAGCTTTATGCGGCACCCCAACCACCCCTCCCCCCTCCCTCTCTCAACCCCCCCTCACTCAACCCTCCCCTCTCCACACTCCTCCCACCCCCCTACCTGGGGCAGCGTGCACGTGTCATGTACGACTGAAAATAGTCTGCATGCAGCAGCAATAACTGTAGTCTCGATGCAGCAGCAATAACTGTAGTCTCGATGCAGCAGCAATAACTGTAGTCTCGATGCAGCAGCAATAACTGTAGTCTCGATGCAGCAGCAATAACTGTAGTCTCGATGCAGCAGCAATAACTGTAGTCTCGATGCAGCAGCAATAACTGTAGTCTCGATGCAGCAGCAATAACTGTAGTCTCGATGCAGCAGCAATAACTGTAGTCTCGATGCAGCAGCAATAACTGTAGTCTCGATGCAGCAGCACCATCGAATACTCCTGCGGTCAATGAGGCAACCCACCTCCCCCCCCCCCCGTCCTCTCTCCCCACCCACCTCCCTCTTTACTCCCACCTCCCTCTCCCCCCACTCCTCCTACCCCCATCACGGTCTCACCTGAGGCAGCGTGCAGGTGTACGACTGCAGGTAGTCGGCGTGCAGCAGCAGCAGCCTTGCGCCCACCATGGAGTACTCCTCGCGGGGTCCGCCACGAACACCAGCTCGCTTGTGTGCGGGTCGCGGTAGTGCGCGGACGGGAAGAACCCCACCAGGCGCTGCGGCTGCTCCTGCCAGAACTTGAACGCGGACGACAGCACGGACGCGCCCACCATCACCGAGTCGTCGCACATCAGCACGCAGTCCGTCGGGAGGGACGCGATGGGGCGCATGCGCGCCGACATGGAGTAGCGGCGCAGCGGCGGGAGCAGCTCGACAGGCTTGCTGGCGTTCCACGACTCGATGGCCGCCGCTAGGATGCTCTGCGTGTGCCCCTGCGCCCACGCGCTGCCACCACTGCTGCTGCTCCCTGTGTTCCCTCCGCTGCTGCCACCAAGGTTGAATCCTCCTGAGGACTCCCCCCCAACACCACCACCACCAGCAGCAGCACTCCCCCCTCCCACAGCCTCGCTGGGTTTGGCCATAACGTAGATCATGTGCACGAAGCGCATGGCGGCGAAGTGGAATATGAGCGTCTGCAGCGTCGTCAGGTCCCCGCCCGTGAGGATCACCACCGACAGCTTTCTCGGCACGGGCGCCCCGCGCGCATACTGCATGAAGTCCGTCTGGCACAGCGGGCTGGGCAGCGCGTCCGCCGGCGCAATGACGCCGTGCTGCACGAGCAGCCCCGACATGTCGCGGAGCAGCTCCCACCTGAGATGATCATACCGCCGTGTGGGCGGGTACAGCTTGTCCGTGAGCTCGTCCCAGCGCTCGAAGCCGCCAGCGAAGCGCACGACCTTGAGCTTGGGGTGCACCCATTCGTTCCACGTGGCGGAGTACCCCAGGCGCGACGGCGCGTTGCACCCGTAGTCCAGGTGGTGCTTCGCGCCCAGCTGCGGCCAGTCGGAGAAGAAGTGGTTGAAGAAGATCAGGTCCTCCGACCCCACTGGGAGGACCGGCCCCCGCCGCAGCCGCCGCTGCAACCCCCACTGCTGCTGCTGCTGCTGAGGCTGCCCCTCCTGCCGCCCCTCCTGCTGCGTCTGCGCCTGGTCGGGGTCTCCTGCTGCGAGGGTGCGTCTCGCGCTGTCACTGTCGCTGTCCACGTCGCCGAATGCGATGGCGGCGTATTCCGCGACGAGCTGGCGGTACGTCGCCACGCTCGGCTCCAGCACCAGCAGGCTCGGGTTGAACCGGTCCGGCAGGGAGTTGTCCGGAGCTGCGGTAGGCTCGGGCCGAGCCAGCACGTCGTCAATGTTCTCAAGGACGAGCATGCGCGGGTCGAGGTAGACAACTTTAGAGTATTGGCGCAGCAGCCACATGGAGAATTTGAACGGCAGGCACTCCGCGAGCGCCGCGGGGTGCGGCGGCGGGGAGTAGACGGAGCTGAAGGAAAAGGGGTCCGCGAAGGTCGTTGGGGGGAAGGGCGGAGAGAACTCCGCCGCGGGGTTCGCGGAAAAGGGGTTTTCCGCGGAGTCCGCGGCGGCGCGCGCGAAGGATTGGTTGAGGTAGGGAGAGGCGGAAGTGGTGGGGCGGAAGGGGTCGTCGAGCAGCGCGAGCACGGACGCGGGGACGCCGCGCGGAAGCGGGTTGACGGTGGCGCCGAGCGCGCGGGAAGATGTGGCGCGGCGTGCCGGAGAGGTTGCGCGCGAGCACGACGATATCGTGCTCCGTCTTGGTGGATCGGATCGAGTGCACGAGCACCATGGCGGACTTTAACTGCGACTCGTCGCACACCACCACTACGTACGCCGCGGGACCTGTTAGTTTCCCGCCGCCGCCGCCGGCGCTGCTCCCGCCGGTGAATCCGCTTCCGGAGTTTCCGCCGAGACGGGAGGTCGCGCCGGCGTTTGCGGCGGAGTTTGCGGCGCGGGAGTCGGCGGAGTGCCAGGGGCGCGCGGTGACGAACCAGAGCGTGAGGAGGAAGGCGAAGAAGCCGAAGAACTGCTGAAACGCCGTCCACAGCCGCGCGTACCGGAACGACTGCTGCAGCGACGCCGCCAGCAGGTCCGGAGACGACCCGTACCGCGCCGCCGCCGCCGGGCGCGACACGACGTGGCTCCGCGCGATCGCCATTGGCCGCTACGCGCGCGGCGGGGGGTTCAGTTGAAATGGAAGCGGCGCGTCAGGGTAAGGACAGGCGCGAGTGACTTGTACTAGTGTCTCTAGTAGCGAGGAGTGATTACGGCGGCAATCATGATCGAATTGGAGATTGCCGCATGAAGGTGTCGACTCAGTTTGCGAAGCAGCGGGCGCGCGATAAAGAGCGATTGAGAACCATACTGTTGCTTCACGGAGCCTCGAATACTAACTAGTACATATCATACATAGCTAGCTAGAGAAGAGAAACTAGATTCTGATCATCAATGTCGAGTGCTAAACCTACCTCCACTCGAGCATCTGTTAGCTCCCAACTTGCAACTCTCGATGTTGCATCCCGCTCCCAGCAGTTCGACAAGCTAGAACCCTTAATATCATTACGGATTTAGTGTTTGACACGAGTTTGCTTTCTAGCACAGCACAGTGCCCTGCAACCCAAATTATAATAAAGCGGCAGTACTGTGTCAATAAGAAAAATAACTCAATAATCGGCTACTAAGAAGCACTTGATATCAAGAAAATGGGAAATTGGGAAAGACCCGGAAAGGTACATTACTACCAGGCAGCTTCAGGGGCGGAATATCGTGAGCACGACAGGAGGGAACGACAGCCGGGTGGAATGGGCGGACACTACTTGGTGGCAAGCGATGTGGTGGGCACGGACGGACCGGTCCAGAAGTGGATGGAGATGGCACGGGAGCTACATGTTGAGCCAAACGGTGGTGCTGTGCTGTGGTTGAGGAGAGTTGAATGCGATGGCACGGCGGCAGCTACTTGTTGAGCCAGTAGACGAGGAGGAAGAGTGTGCAGGCGGCGATGACGGCAGCAAGAATGAGCGAGTCCCGTGACTTCTTCTTCTCCTGATGGCCGATAGAAGCGTGTTCAGCTGTACAGGGAGAGGGGAGAGGGGAGGAGGGGTGGAGGGGTGGAGGGAAGGAGGGTGGAGACAAAAGCAGAAGAGCATGTGGATGAGCTTATGGTGGTGCAGCACCAGTGGTGATTGTGGTGCAGCACCAGTTGGTGATTGTGGTGCAGCACCAGTTGGTGATTGTGGTGCAGCACCAGTTGGTGATTGTGGTGCAGCACCAGTTGGTGATTGAGGTGTTGAGCATGGTGGGGTTGAGGCAGCATGGGAGATGGGAGGCATACTGTGAGAAAGAATGGGGAGGAAGCAGCCTATGTCATTCATGTGAGCTGCTATGGCACACAGAGGCAAAAGAGACAAGGAGAGTGACGCACAAAGGGAAAGGGAGCAGGAAGAGAGCAGCAGGACAGGCATGATAACAGCAGGGTAGGCATGACAGCAGCAGGGTAGGCATGACAGCAGCAGGGTAGGCATGACAGCAGCAGGGTAGGCATGGCAGCAGCAGGGTAGGCATGGCAGCAGCAGGGTAGGCATGGCAGCAGCAGGGTAGGCATGACACTTCACTAGAAGCATGTGGGAGAGAGGCATCAACACAGGAACCTACCCCTGGAATTCGGTTGCCCAGGAGTGTGACTTTAGAGAATGTGCCTCCAAGGAGCGAGCGCTGCTGTGCCCAGAGATGATGACGTGGCGTATGCTTGCTTGATGACGTCATCAGCCTGACGGGAGCAGGGAAACGGGTGGCAGCAAATAGCACAGACGAAGCGATTGGGCAAATGCCGAGTTAGCATGTGTGAAAGATGGCATGCGCTGTGTTGGAACGCGCTGTGTTGGAACGCGCTGTGTTGGAACGCGCTGTGTTGGAACGCGCTGAATAGGTATGCGCCAACAACGAGTAAACATGCACTGTATACAAGATGTAGAATGCATGTAGCATGCATGTATGCAGTGAGTGAGGGGGGAGTCGTGCAGAGAACAAGAAGTGAGGGCGCAGGTGGGGAAGAGAGGTAGTTCACACCTGAGAGAGTGCGGAGTGGATGGAGGTGCGCTCATTGAGCAGTCTGGCCGTTTCAGACAGCAACCTCCGCGCCCGCACTGCTGCCCGCGCCGCCACCCTCCCTGCCACCCGCCTTGCCGAACACTCCCAGCAGCTGCGCTCGCTCCAGGTTGGTGGTCACTGCTGCCCGCGTGCGGGCGAACTCCTGCCAGCACAGTCGAATGCGAGGCGTCAGAGATGCAAAGGCGTGAAGAAGAGACCAGAGAGAAGCCGCTATTTAACATGTGGGGAAGGGTTGAGAGTGGTTGGTTGTGAATCACACACACTCACACATGTGCGTCCTCACACCCCCCCACTGGCACGCACTCCAAGCCTGCCTCGAGAATTTCCAAAACATGCTACCGTGGGGAGTGAGTGTGTGAGCGGGTGCATGTGTGCGCCTGCAGATGCAAGTTGCTGTCCATACACGCATCCACCCACACACACTGGAACCGAAACATGTCCAAACACGCACACACACTGGAACCGAAACATGTCCAAACACGCACACACACTGGAACCGAAACATGTCCAAACACGCACACACACTGGAACCGAAACATGTCCAAACACGCACACACACTGGAACCGAAACATGTCCAAACACGCACACACACTGGAACCGAAACATGTCCAAACACGCACACACACTGGAACGAAACATGTCCAAACACGCACACACACTGGAACCGAAACATGTCCAAACACGCACACACACTGGAACCGAAACATGTCCAAACACGCACACACACTGGAACCGAAACATGTCCAAACATGCACACACACTCCCACGAGTGCCATACTCTCACTCTCACCCACCCTTGCAAACCCCGCAAAGATGCTGTTGTGGCAATTGAGAGTGCGTCTGCAGCTCCCAGCTGCTCACCCAAACTACAGACGCCAGCCCACTCACGAACACTCTCACTCACACAGTCACACACACTCTCACCCACAATCACACACACACCCAAACTTTACTCACACACACAAGGCCGCACTCTCCCACCCACCCTAGAGAACTCCAGCAGAATGTTGTTGTGGCGGGTGAGAGTGTGCGCCTGCAGCTCTGAGCTGCCTCCTCCCGCCCCGCCCGCAGCAGCACATGCGCCCATGGCGTCGTTCAGCGACGCCAGCTGCTGCAGCAGCGCCTCTATCTCGCCCTCTCGGATCTGGATGGGATTTTAAAGGGGTGCGAGGGATGCAGTGCGGTGGGTGGGACTCCCAAAGCGCCCGTGGCATCGTTCAGCGACGCCAGCTGCTGCAGCAGCGCCTCTATCTCGCCCTCTCGGATCTGGATGGGATTTTAAAGGGGTGGCGAGGGATGCAGTGCGGTGGGTGGGACTCCCAAAGCGCCCGTGGCATCGTTCAGCGACGCCAGCTGCTGCAGCAGCGCCTCTATCTCGCCCTCTCGGATCTGACCACAGGCAAGCATGAAAGGGAGAGAGGAGGGTGGGATGGGGGGGAGGCGGGCAGCAGGCAGGAGACACTTCTTATCTGGCACGCTCTACTCTGTCTCGCCCTCGCGGATCTGATGATGAACAACGGAAGGAGGGGAAGAGAGGAGGGAAAGAGGGGAAGAGAGGAGGGCAGGGGGGGATTTGCAGTGGGTTGGACAGACAAACGTGCGCCCATGGTGTCGTTAAGAGAAGCCAGCTGCTGCAGCAGCACCTCTATCTCGCCCTCTCGGATCTGATGATAGGGGGAAAAGGTTTTCAAAGTGGTGGGAAGGGATGCAGTGGGGTGGGTGGGATTCCTGATCCGCCCATGGCATCGTTGAGCGATGCAAGCTGCTGCAGAGGCGCCTCTCTCTCGCTCTTGCGAAGGGGGGGAGGAGAGGGGAGGGGGACAACGCATTGGCATGGAGAGAGACGAGGGGAGGAGGGAGGAGTGGGGGGAAAGTTGGGAGGATAGGGGAGAGTAGAGGGGGGAGAGCGGGAGGAGAGGAGGAGGCGACGGCGGAGGCGAAGGGAAAGTTGGAGCCTCAGCGGAGGGCGACGGGTGTGCTGGGCAGGAATTGGGAAGTAAGCAGCAGAGGCGGAGGAGGAGCGGGCGAGAGAGGGCAGGGCAGCAGAGAAGCACGGAGACCCGCTTGGGCCTCTGGGAAAGGGATCAGAGAAGCAGAGGGGCGGAGTGGGGGAGCAGCAAGGTGTGGCGGAAGTACACTCAAGGGCGCCAACCCACCTGCGCCTCGGAGGGGTCGGGCAGCGAGCCAGCAGCGGTGGAGGAGGAGGCGAGCGCGAAGGCGGCGCCGAGCTTGGAGTAGGCGGCTAGGCGGTGGTCCACCTCGCTCTCCACTCGCCGCGCCTGCAGGGGGGGCGGTAGGGTGGGAGGGGGGGAGGTTGGGGAGGTGAGGGAGCGGGGGAAGCGCCAGTAAAGGCTGGTAGGGGGTGATTCACTTCGCTCTCCACCCGCTGCCACTGCAGTGTGGCGGGGGAGGTGGGGGGAGGTGCGAGTGCGCGCATGTCAACCCACCACGTGTCAGCAATTCCATGGTTGGATCCTGTATCAACGTGCATTACCTAAAAAGGGGGAACGGCAACGGCTGCTACCGAGTAATGTGTGCGACAGCGCGACCGTGCGACCGTGCTACCGGCGTGCGACTGTGCAACCGCGCGACTCACATCTTTCCGCAGATCCTCCCATCGCCTTCCCCCCGCCACGAATCCGCTGCTCACGCCTCCCCCTAACCCGCTCAGAGATCCCCCGCTGCCCGACATCCCGCCACCCCGCCCTTCCCCGCGGCTTTGCACTGCGCCGCTGCCACTCCCCTGCTCCGCTCGCGGTTCTTCTTCCCCCACCGACGGAACTCTCGGCGGTGCTGCCCTTCCGCTTCCCCTGTCAGCGCAATGCGCTCGTGGCTGCGCGCGCGCCCGGATTCGAGCCGCAAATTCGCGAGATCGCGGTCGGAACTGTTTCTCGCAAAGAATCACCTATAACGGAGGGAAACTGGAGACCGAGGAGGACGCCGATTCGCGCGTCAGCGGGGGAAATGAATCTCACTAGATTTGTCGACTGGGTGTCGATTGGGCCAGTGTTGGTGCAGATGCTGCTGCTTGTTACGAAACTAGGGCTATGGTGAGGCACGTTCGAAGAAGTTACAGTACTAGGTCTGGTGAGATGCGAGTGTGACCCGGCGAATCATGATCGCAACGAATTTCGAACGCGATTGTAACGCGCTCGCAGACGCAGGCCAGGCCAAGAAGCCAGGGCACGAGCAGAGAGCCGGTTCGGGTGGAGATCGGCAGCGACGGAATCTAGGCTACGGAGGAGCGACCCTTGCTTTGCTTTGCTTTGCGATCCAGACTCACGCGCACTGTGTCAGGTTGGCTACCTGAGAACAATACATCCCAGCACAGACTGCCTCGTTATTGAATCATTATCTACCTCTACCCTATTCTTCGGTTGAACTAACAATCCAGTCTTTGCAGAACTTGTTTTCGCAATTCGCTGAAGGCGTCAGAATGAGGCACCGCAAAATGACCCACCAGGCACCCTGGCGGTGGTGAGGTGAGTCACTCCTTTTCAGATCTTGGACAACAGGGTTATCCACAGCACCTACGTGTCATCAGGCCATTAGCAGCTCCTCTTTCTCGTTCCCGTGACCCGTCCCGTTCCTTTCCCGACACCGCACTTGGTCTGAATTACAGGACGGCGACAGCGAGGGATGGCAGGACGGCGAATTACAGTACGCAGTGTCCCTCCCTCAATCACCTATTCGTCCTACAAGTATGCTAACCCGTTGCTGTCCAATGGCTCTCCGCAAGTAGTGAGAACGCTTTTCCTGCGCATCGGGTCTAGTTTTCACCGCCGTTCATCCTAACCGCTCTTATTCACTCACGGCCGCATGGCCATGTGGTTGCGGCGATTCGTGTCGAGCGACGAGTGGCAGGACGCCGCAGCCGCGGGCATCACGCTCGTCATCTGCCTCGGCTGGCTGCTCTCCGTCCAATCTCTCGTCGCGCTCCGTCTGATCTCCGTCTATCTCAGCCGTAAACTCATCCACATCTTCACCGGTCCCATCTTCATGCTGACGTGGAACCTCTTCTCCAATCAGCCCTACGCGCGCCTCGCCGCTGCCGTCGTCCCGCTCTTAATCACCCTCCACTTCACACTCGTCGGTCTAGGCATGGTTAAGGATCAGTCAGCTATTAACTCCGTCACGCGGCGCGGCGATCGCAGGGAAATGCTGCGCGGGCCCGTGATGTATGGGCTGTGTTTCGTCGCCTTCACTGTGCTCTTCTGGCGCCACTCCCCCTCCGCCTTTCTCGCGCTCAACGCGCTCTGCGCGGGAGACGGATTTGCGGAACTCGCGGGTCGGCGGTTCGGGAACGCGCCTTCGCAGAAACTTCCGTGGTCCGGAGTCAAGAGCTGGCCTGGCAGCGCGGCGATGCTTCTCTGCAGCTTCGGGTTTGGGTTCGGATCGCTGCTGCTCTTTGATTCGTTTGGCAACTTCGCCCCGCGCCATGTCCACGTGGCAACAGCAGCGCCTGCCACGTTGGCGATAGCGGCAGGTGCGGCAGCAGTGGAAGCGGTTGCGCCTGGCGATTGGGACAACGTGCTTGTGTGTGTGGTCGTGGCTGTAGCGGGGGAGTTGGCAATGCCTCTGCTTGTGAGGTAACTATAGCGAGGAAGCATTGTCTCTGGTAGTTACTCCATTCCCCCCTCTGGTGGGACGAGGCAAGCAGCATGGCAGCTCAATGGTTGGTGCAGTATCAGCCTGACCTGCCGCAGGTGCCATTTGGAAAAACAGAGGGAAGATGGTCGATAATATTTGAGCAGATGTGTGGACCGGCACACCAGAGAGATGATGTAGCAGGAGAGGAGATGACATGCAGATGAGGAGTTGAAGCCGCTGCTTGTGCCCACTGTGACAGGTTTTGTGGCTTGACTGAGAGTAGCACAGGTGACGTGTTGTTCACAGTCAAGAGGACAGGATCTTGAGAGAAACCAGGCGATTGTAGTAGCGTATGTCAAAACATGTACCATATTTATATGTTTTGTATGTGTTTGTTGTAGGCTATGTAGAGGTGACATTAGAGGGTACTACAATGTCAAATGTTGTAGCCTGTAGTGAGGCTTGTCTTATGGGGTACAAACAGGGTTCTCGCTAGGTTTAGGGCCTGTCTGACAAAACCCTCAAAAAAATTTTCCCCGTCTTAGGCTTTGACGACGAAATTTGTGTGGTCTGCAGTATAAGATGAAATGTTTTTCCTAGTCTGATAAACTAGACGAAAAAAAAAAACCAAGTCAGCCCACAAGAACACTACCTGCAATTATACTCATTCTATCAAACAACCTAGGCAGTAGCTAAGGACCTAGTCAGACTCACTAGAGCCGTAGTCCTCATTGCTATCACTACTACCATCCTCACTCCCCACGGGAACTGTGGCCCGTTCTTTCCTGGTAAGCCACGGGTTCTCAACATCCATCCTTGCTGCTTCTGCTACCAGGGCCGCTTCTCGAGCAGCTGCTTCTGCTGCTGCCAGTGCAGCTGTTGCTGCTGCAGCTGCGGCCGATCTCTTCCTCGCACGCTTGCTCTGTCTCTCCCCGGACGCCATCAGCACATCGTTAGCAGGCCTTCGCTTCTTGGAAGCATTCCACCTCCTCAGCAACTCGGGCCACTCCATGTCGTAGTTAAGGAGCGACACAGCCATCAGCTCTCCCAGCTTCGCGTCGCACAGGTTCCCGCGAAGCCAACTCTTGATGATGTTTTGTCGTGAGAAGCCGTGCTCGCACTCGACGGTACTGAGCGGAAGCACGGCGACAGCCATCCACAGGTGGACGAGGTTCGGGTAGCACGTCGCCCAGTCGGGGGAGGACAGCATGAGTTTCAGGCTCTCCGCACACCCGACATCCTCTTGGTGTGTGGCCAGGATGGTAGAGAAGGTGACAAGCTCTCGCTGCGCTCTCGCCCAGTTGATGCCTGCGGTTGGGGTGCACATGGGAACATGGGAACATGGGAACATGTAGTGTTTAGACAAGCATGTGGAGACAACGCTAAACATACAGCTCATTCCCGGCATTTAACGCACCTGGTATAGTGTCAGGGTCATCTGGCTTCCGCTTGAACATGTTGCGCAGAGACTGGAGCCATTGGCCTAGCCGTCGCTCACGCTTTGCCTGGTTCTTGGGATAGAATCTCTGCTTGAACAGCTTCGCCCCGTCGAGGTTTGACAGGTCCTTGAGGCGGTAGTCGAGCCGGCCGACCAGGGTCGTGATGAACTCGCGCGCCAGCACCAAACACGCTTGGTGGTCCACACCGCTCGTCTGCCCCTTGATTTTCTCCTCGTGCAGTCGGTATCGATGGCTGACCGATGTGCCGTCGGAAGCAGTGCCAGCAACGAGGACCTCGCGGAACTCCCCAGATGCGTGCTTGTCGAGGAACGGGCCCAACGCGTCTCCCCCCTGACCAAACTTCGCGTCGTCGCAGTCGAGGTAGCGTGTGCGCAGCAGTAAGGTCGTGTTGTGGACCATCGGCAGCACATGGGTTGCCTCAACCTGTAAACGGGGGTGCACAAGCAGGATGGTTAGTAGGAGATTGTAAATGAAAAAACCGGCCACGTGTAACTCGGGAAACTGCTTACCTGACGCCGCTGAAACTTCAGGCTTAGCAGGTTGAGCTCCTTCAAGACGTCAGAAAGGAAGAACAACAGGAAATGGAACTTATAGCTCGTGACGACGTGATACATCTTCTTGTTTGTTTCGTGCAACACCATGACTGCAGCAGGAAAAACCTTCACCAGGCGCTGGATGGCGTCACCACGCGACAACCACCTGACGTCCTTGATGCCTTGAACTTCAAGCTGGGTCTCGCAAATGACCTCCTGAAGCTCTTGAAACCGGGCGTGGTTAACACAGGAACGACCGAGGTTCTCAGCCACGGCGCGGACCACCTTGTCCACGACGCTGAAGTCAGGATGCTTGGCGGCAGCATCCTTGGCCGCCAAGGCCTCCCTGCAAGACAGCAGATGGTAACATTAGCACGGGTTTTTTTTTAAAAAAGTAGGCAGGAAACGCGCAGTAACAACGCCTACCTGTGCGCGATGCAGTTGTGAAACTAACTGAACAGGAATGAATTGACTAAGTCAGAGTTGGGTACAAATACAAACCTAGCAAACTGTACCCCATATGTGCTACCCCACTATAGCCTACAAACATGCATCAGCTATAATAATCTGACACACCCCCATAGGCAAAGTGGGGGAGAACAAGGGGTCACAAGACCAGTCAAGCAAAGCAAAGCAAAGCAAGCTCAGGATGGATCACAAAGTCACCACACAGTCCGAGCACAAGAGCAGGGCCAGAGGCCAGTTCACATGCAGGAGTACAGACATATATATAAAACTAGACAAGCAGGAGCAGGTATATATATGACAAAGTACAAGTAAAGTCAAGAAGAGAGCAAGTGAGGCAAGACAGGTACAAGACCCAGCTGGGTACAAAAGCGCTGATGGTCACAAGGCGCAAGTGCCTTGGTGAACACATCAGCAGTGTTGGCCTCAGAGGCCACGTAAGCAAGTCGCAACTGACCACGCTCCTGCAGCTCACGAGCAAGGAAGTAGCGGAGAGCAATGTGCTTCGTTCTGTGCTCCAAACGCTGCTCTCGACACAAGGCCAGCATGGCCTTGTTGTCTACGTACAGCACTGGAGGAGAACGAGGCGGCTCTCCAAGGTCGGTCAGCAGGTAGGTGAGCCAGCGAAGCTCCTGTGCAGCCAT